CAAGGTCTCTCTCTCTCTCTCTCTCTCTCTCTCTCTCTCTCTCTCTCTCTCTTCGTAATTCCACCCGCGCTATTCCCGTCTCTAGTGATACCGGCGACTTTTTTTTCTTCCCTATCTTTCTGGAACTACCCTTTTTCTATTCTTCTCGACCGCGAGATCTACCGGAAGAAGAGAAGCCTCCCGACGCACGCGTTGGTTTTTCTTTTCTTTCGTTTCGCCGCGATGGTCCTCGTGACTAGTCCTCGGCTGACGAACCGGCTGACCGTCGCGCGGGTTCCTCCAAGAAGTGTCGGTTTTTATCTCCCAGATGCCGGCTTTTATTTCCGGCACAATCGGGCCAAAGACACGGATGAACAGTGCGCCGCTGACGACGTCGACGAAGACGACGTCCCGTGGTGGTGGTGACAGCCAGCGGCGGCACCCGACGCTCTTCTCATAGTTGGGACGGCTGCGACGATGCTGCTATGTTGGGGGTCGCGACGTGCCTGACGCGCGAGGGCGACCGACCGACCGACCGACCGACCGAGCGACCGACCGAACGACCGAACGACCGACCGACCTACCCACCGACAAGCTCACCCTGCTCTCCGCTTATGCGGCGACACGCGCGTCCGCCACCCCTTTTCGAGGATCCTGGAGGCTGCGCCGGATGGCACGGCGAGTGCGCAAGCCCGCGTACCTCGCGAACTCACCCCCGCGGCTCGCTTCGCCGGCGCGTATAGAGAGAGAAATAATCGCGCGTGCAAAGCGACGTAATTATGTATACGTGACACGGGGGTGAGACAAAGACAGAGAGAAAGAGAACATATGCGCGAACACAGTCATGTTGAAGCTCACAATGACTGGGACAAGGGCAGATACACACTCGGCTGCTGATAGTCAGCTTTATCATCGTGGCGGTGGTTGTCGTCGTCGTTATCGTTTCGTGCCTTCAGCAAACAATCCTTGTCCTTCTGCGGGTGCAACAGATGCACTTTACCGGTCTAGAACCACTAAATCCGCGAAGCGCCACCGGCTGTTGCGTTTTCCGCGTACCGTCCCGTTAGTTTCTCCTTCTTCTCCGGCGCAAAGTTATTGCAGGGATGATCAAAGGCGAGTTTCGCGCGAATATCACAACCACCGTAGGCTATGCCCCGCACTTGCAGTGTGCGTCAATGTGCGCACTGTTCGCGAAAACTCAAAGCTCGAGCTATTCCCGGGCAAGGGTGAATTTCGACGGAGCCGCGTGCCAACCATCGGGGGACGCGGTATTCTCGGCGACGAGACACCTCCATAAGAAGTTTGTTCATTTGTATTTCTCTTGTAAGTTTATTATTACAAACTCCAGCTTAAACACAAGTTTTTTTCACGAAGAGTGTATATAACCTGAGTTAGACAAACAATAACAGCACACAGGTAAAACGTCGAAAAGTTCTTCTACGCGTATACATTCAAAGTAAAGGATATGTAAAAAGTAATAAGTTGGCTCCCGCCTTACCCCAGCTGGAGAGGCGACCCTCGTAAAAGATGCATCTTGCCGATCTTACATTAGCGTGCGCGAACGAGCGAGCGATTGCGCGATCCCGTAGTAAGGTAATCCGTGAAAATGATGAAATATTTCGTCCCTGCTCTCGCACGTTTAAAGTCTCTCCCTCTGCATTATGGATCGCAACGACGTGCGGGCATCAGCGGCCGTTGCTCAATCTGTAGTGTACGCTACATCGATAAATGAACTTCTCTCTCTGCCAGTCCAGCTGAAAGTTATGTACATCACATCATACGCCCGCGTTTCAATACGATGACGTAAATGCGATTGCAGAATTACGAATTATTGACCGTGTACTCACGGTTTTATCTGTCTTAGATTCAGGCAGCTCCGCGTGGTTGGTCTGTGTTCTCTCCGCGTTGTCAAGTAATCTGAATATTAGTCGCGAGAAAATGCGCGTGTAATTAAAATGCCATTAGATACGTTCTTTTCAACTAAGCTAGGTTGCACTTTTTTCCTTTTAAAATAAAATCAGTGCACTGAGAGAGCAGAAATATTTAAAGATCAAGAAATATTTTTGGAGAGGTGAATAACTAATAACATGTTTCTAATACACTTTTATACTAATGCACACCTATTTTTACATTAAAAACAAATTTCCTTCAAGTGAGAAAACATTTCCCTAAAACCGTTGCTTTTCACGGAAACAAGTTTATTTTACTTAAAAGAATTTAGATTCAAGTGAATGTGTTATTGGTATCCAATTCCAGCAAATATTTTTCTTCATTTAGATGTTTTGTTCCCTCAGTACACATAATCGAACAATAATGAAGGGAGAACGGAACGTTTCAATGCAATACTAGCTGAAGATCACAGGTCTACTGCCAATCATAGATACTCAGAGATGCCGATAGGTAAATACGCGACGCACGTGATAAACGCATCATAAACTTCGTACCGGCGTTCCCGTTTTTGCTTGGAGTCGCGCGAATACAATTCCTTAATGACCTTCCCGTTACTCACGGCGTCGCCGATTTTCGCGATGGAGTCCTTCTTATTCGCTCCACCGCTCAAAGGCGCCGTTCTATTTTCCCGTACGCGTTCCTTGCGCAGGGTGAATTTGTTTTGAAGCTTGTGCTTCGCAGAATTATTATTATTCCGACGAGGGTGGTGACTCGGCGTCTCGGTGTTTGCAATATCCGATTCGCCGTTCGCGGCCACGCGCGAGCTCAGAATATCGATTCGATTATTCAGCTCCGCCAGCTCCTTCGAGTTCAGCGACTAGAAGGAACGACTGGTGACGAATCGGCCGTGAAAAAAGTTATTTGTCTATATGTCAGTTTTCCTTTTCCGCGCACCTGCAGCCAACTATCCGCGTCGAACGGGCTCCTCTCGATCCTCATAATGTCTTGGAACCGCGCCTGCAGTCGCTCCACGTTCTCATTGTGCCGCTTGCGAAACGCGTTCAAACTGCTGTCATATTTTCTTTTTAATAACGCCAACTTGCTCTGATACTCCTCTACCTGACACTGTCGGAGTCGAAGATTAATAAACACACACATGAGCTATGGCTTACGTGACGGAAATTTCATGTCTTTCGCGCGCTCGCGTACCTGAACCTTATTCTGCAGATCGTCCTTCTCCTGCAGCAAGAGCGAAACGCACTCCTGAAGATTCTTAACCTCGAAGTCCCTCAGTTGCACGTCGTTCATCAATTTTTTAATTTCCCGCAGCTTCTCCTCGTGCTGCACTTCGAGGAGTCGCAACTTATGCGCGACCTGTTCGGAATTGCCAGACGTCCCGTGAGCGACTGAGTCTAATTCATCACGCGCGCGTTGGCTTGTGTCAAATTTTTCATTCTGTTGTTGACAAGACCGATGAAAAAATTGCGGATATTAGTGAGCGTGCGAGCGCGCGTTGATGAACATGAAAGAGAGAGAGAGAGAGAGAAAGAGAGAGAGAGAGAGAGAGAATTGAACCTAACGAGCTTGTTCGCGTACTTGATCGTGAGCTTTTATCAATCGCTCTTTCTGCCCGTCGTCGATGCCAGAGATGATCTCGCTACTCCACCGTTCTGCGGTTTTCATGGCGCCATCCGCATCGTTATCACGCTCTTCGCCGTCGTTCTCGCTAGGACGCACGATTTTCTCGTAAGTTCTGCCGGGGAGTGTGCACAGCGCATCCTTTAGGGACCGTTTCCCACAATCGTTTCCGCGCGCTCGTAACAATTGATCGTTGGTATTCTTCACGGTCTCTACGTCCGTCCTCAGTGCCTCGTTTTGACGCGATAACGCAACCAGCTCATTGGAAACGCGCGTCGTGGAGTCCTCACAGCTCGCTATTTCGCTCCTCAGGTTGTCCGCACGCGCCAGCAGCTTCTCTTTATCCTGGTCTAAGCTGGTCAGACTCGTTTGCAGGGCACTTATCGCGGCCACGCTGTCGTTCTCGCTTCTCAGCAGGGATATCGTGTCGTTGCTGTGGCCAAGTTTAATCTCAGCGTTGTTCAGTTGATTGCGCAGCGACCGGTTCTCGTCCTGCAGGCTCGCGATGTCATCGAGCTTTTGCGTTATTATCGCATTGTACTTGACACCCTCGCGCGCCAGAGCCAGCCTGTTCTTCTCGTCTAGGCTCTTCAGGTTCGCAATAATCTCTATGTGTTGGCGAATGGTTTCATTAGTCTGCATAAGCTTACTCGTGAGGTCATTGTTCCTCATCTGCAAGTCTGTCAATCTGCAAATGGCGATTTAAAGAACACCGATCGAGAAACATCGTTCAGGATAAGAACCCTCTAGATAAAAGTGGAGATCAGATCAACTTGGTCGTGTCACCCAACTCATGTTAGTTCTGCATTCAGTCCATGAATTTAACGTGAAAGGAAAAAAGGAATCGCAAAATGTTCTCTTCAAAAGATATTTACATAGTAAATTGTTACACAACAAATTTACAGTTCCTCTCAAAACATTTACATGGTAAATTTCCGAACAAAGTTTCTCTTCTTTTGCATGTTTCTCTTTCAGAACATCTACATAATAAACTCTTACGTAGCACCCATGTTCTAAAGAAAACATCTTGCGACTGCTTTTGCACTCCTTTTTCAGAAATGCATGGTCAACGTGACAACTTCGGCCAACTTCATCTGTTCTCCCCTAACACGAAACTACAAACTTCTTTCTCAGATTGTCAATATCATTCGTTTCCTTCTGCAAAGCATCGATAGTGAGCTTCAAATCGTCTATCTCCTGAATCCGCTCGCGCATGTGATCGCTCTGTGCTCGCAGTTCCTCGCGACGCGCCTCATTCTCCTTCGCGAGCGTTCTTTTCGCGTCAGTAAGATCGGCGTTCTCGTTCTTCAAGGTGTCGTGCTCCTCGCGGTAAGCGCACACTCGCTCCTCCAGCGTGTCGAGGCACTCTCGCAGCTGCACGATCTCCGAATCCCTTTCGCCTATCACCGCCTCTAAAGCCTTTTCTTTCTCGAGCATCCTCTTCCGCAATTGTTCTTGCATCATACAATCGCCTTCGCCTCTGCGCAACGTATGCTCCGCTACTTTCTGTCTCAGCTCGGTAATCTCGAGATCCTTCTTCTGCAGCTCTTGCCGCTGCTTCACATGCTCTCTGACAATCTGCACATGGTGATCTCCGGCTCCTTAACAAATCATCGTAGAACGTTAACCGATGCGTCGGCGCGTCTCGGGAAAGCTACATGACACGGTGGTATCTTACACGGTAGTACCTTGAAGGATCACGGACATCTTGTTGATATATTGTTTAATATGCGTCGTGAGAGCGCGATCGATCTCCTCGTTCGAGATCGCTTGGTTCAAGCGAGAGGAGTCGGAGCACGTCGTGCTAGTCTCCACCTCGTCCGACTGGACCTGTACGTTAACCAGCTCCTTGGAAGAGCGACAGTCGTCGCGATCGCTCGACGTCGAGACGTCCTCTGCAATGTTATCGAGCTCTGTACTTAAATTCATCTCGGATTATCGAGTTCCAATCGTCCGTTAAATCAGATCGATCAGCACGCGGGCGGAAAATCCGTCGAAATCGTCTCTCGAGACATTCTCATCGTCTCTCTTTAATCCTTCCACTACTGCGGACACATTTATGTCCAGAGAAATACAGAATCTACCGTTGGTATTAAACTATGTATCAAAGGCTCTGCTTGGAATACAACCAAATTAAGAGAGATATAGGTCAGTAAGAGCTATGCGCTGGATGTTCATGCGAATAATTAAAAGGAAAATATGGGGAGATTTAGTTTCGACTCCTGACTGAGGTAATATTTTTCGCAATTTTAATAGTAGTTACAAAGCAATAAGCAGTTGGGAATTTAATAAGAAGAGAATTAATTAAAATATAATAATCGGAATTCAGAGTCGAGTTTAAACGTGGAAGGTATAATTTACATTGTTGCATTTACACTGTCAAGCAATATTGCTCTCTCATTAATTAATTACTCACTAACATATAGCACATAGCCCTTATTAGTTTATATTTCTCTTAATCTACTGCTAGTGTTTTGTATACTCTCAATAATAATAATAATGACAAGTAGATATTCAAGCGTGAAAGAATTAAAGTGCACGCTTGGAGCTGTACCTGCAGCTTGCGGCTGGATTATCTCACGTCCGGTATAAAAATCCGTGTTTGCGATTTCGCTTACGGTCTGTCGACTGTAGCACGCTCTTAAGTTATCTATCTCCAGCAGACGATCGTGTCGTTCACGTTTGTCCTCCTTCAACGCGGCTAAGAACGTTCCTAAGGCGACCAGTGCGCTCTGCACGTCTAGGCAAGTGTCGTGCTCGCATCTGGCATGCTCGCAGATGCTTTCGTACGCCACCTTAGACTCGTCGAAATTATTCAGGCAAGTTTTCAGCATGCTAGTCAAATTACTGACTTGCCGCTCCATGCAACCCAGCTGCATTTCGTACTGCGAGATCTTGTCGTCTTTCGCCCGAATCTCATTTCTCAAGTCGGTCACCGCATCATTCATCTCATTCATCTCCACCTGTTCACGAGCAATCACTGTGTACTTTGGGTTACAACTTTTCCGTGAAAAGCTTGATCTAAGAATTATTTTAGGATTATTAGACGTCTCTGGCGTCACGAGGTGTGCAGTTTGTTTAATCATTCCTACACGGAGAAAGTATTGCAATTAAAATTACGTTAAAATTATATATCTTCTTATATTTTTAGTACAGCTAGGCTATAGAAGTGATAAATTTGACCATTTGGTGTACAATATAAAAAAAGCATTCGAGCAATTATGATAATTTTGTAGCAAAAGATCAAACGTGAATAATATTTTCAAACAGATATGTATATATAACAATTTTAGTCATGATTCTGCAGGACAAGAGATGACAAAAATTTTGTTGTAATTTATACTGCAATATTTTCTCCGTGATCTAATGTGTTGTCGTATTTATATATCATACAGCAAAATTCTCATTTCGACGCGCCTGCGAGAAGAAAGAAACACGTGTCATTGAGAAATGATCCCTACACTGCAATGCAATCGCGTTTCTTTTTTCTTCGTTTTCGTTATCTGAAACTGTGCTCCACGATGGCGTAGCTTCAACAATCGACGCGGCCGTGAGCCAGCATATAACGCGCTCGATCATTTACGCCTGCATAATTAAACTACAGTACCAAGAAATGACGCGACGTGGCGTATTCCTTTGAAATTTTACGTCCTGTTATTATCAAATTGCGTCGACAGCGATAATTAATTAATGAAGCACTGCGCGACACACGCGAGCCAAGTGACGCACCTCCCGAGCGTTGTCCTTGACGGACATTTGCTTTATCAACGTCAGCATTTGCCGCATCTCATCCTCTCGGTCGGCCAGCGTGCGGATCTGCTCGCGACATTGCTCCTGAAGCATGTCCCGTTCTCGCCAGACGCACTTCACCTGCTCCAAAGCGATGCCACGGCTCTCCGCCTCTTTCGACAGGCATTCGATTTCCTTCACCTTCCTCTAATCGATCGCGTTAATTCGATATAAGCAATCCGCCGACCTGATTTAGCCGACGTCCCAATCTCTCCAAAATACGCGCGTATACTCTCTACCTCTCGTGAGATATATGTACGCGCGAAAAAGAGAATAAGTTTCTGTGTACCAACCGCGAGTGACTCATTCTCCATGGAAAGTAATTCCGCGTTTTTAAGTCGCTCCCGAAGTTGCTGAATCTCTTGCGATTGTAAGTGACAAACTTGACATTTTCTACCCAACTCCGCTTTCAACTGATCCACCAGACACTCCGAAGCGGAGAGCTAAGGGAAGAAGGAGCAAAGCCCAATTGAAAAGGAAGAGAGGGAAAGGAATGCAATTTACATCCTTTACACGATACAAAAAGGAGGAAAGAGTTACTTTCGCGCTTAATTCATCCATCTCGCTCTTGCGTTTGTCGCTCACCATCTGCAACTTCTTTCGCACGATCTACGGAAAGAGATCTAAATGATCAAGCGAATTCTCAACGGAGAAACCGTTTATGAGCAGTGAAAGATCGATTTACGTTGAAATTGAATTTCAAGATCCTCGCGTCCTCGTTCCTTTTCTCCAGGCGGTGGTGCAGCTCCTCCAGCTCGTCCTCCTTCACCTGAAAGGCGAGAAAACGCGCATGATTTATCCCGGTTTACCTCGATAAATACGTTCGCGCGAATCGCGCTATCGCTCCGTACACCGAGTTCGTTCTTCAGCACGATGATCTCAGAGTCCTTCTGGATGATAACCCGCTTGTGATTCCTCTCGCAGATCTCCAGATCCGTGGTCAACCTTAACTTGCGCTCGGACGTCGAGGCGCTCTCACTACTCCCGTAGTATTGACTCGAGCACGAGTCCACGTCGCGCTGCACCTGTCTCCCGTCGTAGTCGTCGATCTGGACATTCGCGTCCCGGTATTCATCCGTCTGCACGCACACTTCGCACACCGTTTGCGCCGCCTGGGAGGACGCGTCGACGTACTCGATACAGACACTCGCCTGATTGTTACATTCTGCAAGATTCATCGCGATTCAAAACTACGAGCCATGAGCACGCCTGCCGCTCCGTGAATTTTTCACGCCGGTCTCAAGAACACCGCGATGTTTCGTCGCGAAAAGCAACCCTTGCCCCGTCTAACCTCTCCTTGTCTGTTTTACCTCGCGTAGGTCTCTGCTCGCTCAGAAGGTCGCAAGAGGTGACGCGCGACACCAGATAAGTCTCGTTTTCCGACGACGAGCTTGTGAAGCGATTCTCCCTTGACACGCGAATACTGGTCAGCAATGAGTTGCAGATTTCTCTGTCGTAGCGGAATCGCCGGTGAGGACGCAGATACATGGACAGATACGTGTCGGGGTGTCGCGAGCATACGAGTCTACTCGGGTGGAACAATAAGGTTTCTTGTGACAGGAGCGGTCTTAAAGCAGACTCGATCCTCGCTTCTTCCTTATACTCGGCCCGAACGTCTCGCTCGACGTTGGCCTTGTCCTGCGGATGTATGAGAGAATCGTTAACAGCCCGTTAAAATATTTAACGTCGTCGCAATATTTATCAGAAGAAGTTCTCACGAGATCCTCCAAGTGCTTTCGTTGCTCCGGACTGAGCTTCAGAGATTTGTATTTTTGCAACTCCTGCTGCGTGATGCGAAGCTCCTTCTGGGCTTGGGCAGTAAGTCCTATCATGTTGTCCATCACGACATCGAACGGCACCACTTTTCCCGGCTACAAAGAGAAACCGAAATGCACGTGCCGCTTTTATTTTACGCTCGAGCGTTCCCAGCGTTCTTTGTGCAATCGCAACACACCAACAGGATTTACATTTAATAAACATCTGCGAAGTAATTTAATTAGTAATTTCTGTGCTCTCGCAGCGTTCGCTCGTTAAATATATGCGAATGAATAATTTAGTCGCTCGCCGTGCAGTGCAAAAGAGCGTGCGTGCACACATGTATGTGCGAATGTGCAGTTGTATTTCGGGCCAATCGATAACGTTCCAAATTCCAAGATCGCTCGTTGGAAAACTTCCGGATTTCATTCGCGAATAACGTGTCCAATTATTTATAAGCATTTGTACGTTGTTCCTTCTTAGAGATATTTCTTCATTCCAAAGAACAAGGAGAAAACTTATATATTTTCTCTCACTTTTAATCAGGTAATTTAGTCCTTTACTGAATGACGCAATAGTGTGTTGTTGTTTACTTAATTACTTACATTAATATAAAATATTTTTTAAATAAGAAAATAGAAGTGGTTCTCTTAGAGAACTCCTTAGCTCTTTATAAAAATTTTTCTCTATTTAAATAAAACAATTTAGATATAAATAAATATGTCATTAATACCGGCCAAATAAATATCTTTTTCAATGTTTTTCTCTCAGTGAAAGGATGAATATTTTATGATCATTATTCTTTCTTAGAAATCTTCCAAAGAACAAAGAGGAAATTCACTTATTCTCTGTTTTTAATAAAATGAATTAATCCCTCAATTTAATTAATGTACCGAAGAGCAGAAAGGGTTAACCCTTAGGCTACGACATGAAGGTTGGATCCTCCTCTCGAGAGGACTCCAATAATAGTTTTTGCGTAATAACTTCCAAGAGAAGTTTTTCCTAAAGTTCTAAAGATTGCAATTAAATACTTTATTTAAATATTACCTAATAATGCTCTTTGTCATATTTTTTCTTATCTAGTAAAAGTAAAATGAAGTCAGTCGAGGACTCCACGTCGTAATTAACGTTGATAAAAATAACGCCGTAGCCTAAAGGTTAAAGAAGAGAGACTCGACTTGGAAAGGATCGAAAGCGTGGACACCAACCGCGGTTGTTGCGTGTTCGCTGAGCTCGCGGAAATAGCGCGTGCTCTCCAGCACGTTCGGGCTCCAGGCTCGAATGTCCGTGCACGACTCGTACATCTTCAAGCGACCCTCCGATCGTTTCTGCGGCGCGACGTAATCCCCGTAAATCGAATGTATGCCATTGCCTGGTCTGCCCGCCAAAAAGATGCGCGGTCCATGCTCAGCGTAGGACATCGTCGTCGCAGCTTCAACTTCTCACTATTCGCTTGATCCGGGTGTCCGCGAGACGTGAGTCACGCCTGCCTCTTACGCTCAAGCGACTGCTGGGACCGTCTAATTTTCGCGAAAAATCATGACGCATACGAGGTTAGCGGGAGAGATTTCGGCTCCTGCTGTATTTTATTTATATACCATAGTAACCGAGCACGGTGAAGAGGAAGATATCGATATTAGGCCGGTGAGTAGGGTGGTGGCGGTTCAGGCCGTTGGAGTGGTGCGCGGAAAAAAGAGAAGAGTGGCGCTTAAAAAATACAATAAAATATCTTTATTTCGTAAGCTGCCGTTAAAAATAATTACAGCATCAATAAGTACACTTCCATTCTTGCGATTGTATTATAGCTGTTCTCTTAACCGCTTAAGTAGTAGAATGCTGCACGCGTGTATCGCCTAAAACATATATCCTAATTGTATTCCCGCGAGAGCTCTAATAGAGCGTTATCTCCGCGCAATGAAACAAATAGTTGTTTCCATTTCGGATGTACGTATAACACAAGATGAGGCAGCTTCCCGCGGATTCGTCTAATTTATATTCTAGCTGGGCTAAAGGGGTGTTGACAGGGACGGGAACGGGGCACGGAGGTTAAGTACAAAAGTAGATCCTCGTCTAGAGCGATGGATTATATAATAATAATAATTATAACATGATCATCTTACGACAGGTCCATTCTTTTTCCAACAACTTCCTACCTTCGGAGAATTGGTATGATAAGTTAAATGAAGTTGAAATGAAGTATATACTTGTCTCGCCCTCTGACCGCATACACCAGTGTGTACATCAGTTCAGGAAGTTTTTCGAAAAGGAACAGACCCGATGTTACGTTGGTACTCTGAGGACATTCTCTCATTGAAACACTCTCTCTGACTCGCACACATATCGTAAATATCGTATCATCTTAAAAGACGAAAACGTCTCTCTTCCCTTTCTCTCCTTTTAATATACTACATGATTATCGCGTGAGGCGTCAAACGTTTGGTTGGATGAAAGAAGAAACTGAGCTGGAAAGAAACACGCGAAACGTGCACATGTCTCTCTTGGCGGTTGCGAAATAAACAAAAATTAATTAACGCGGAACAGACTGATAATTTGGCTGCGGAACGAGCCTGTTCGTGAGCGCTCATTGCGGAAGTCCACGTGTAATATTTCGCGACACTACGTTTCAGCAAAAAGAACTCGATATAGAAATCGTATAGCTACATCATTATTTATAGAGTATATGTATACATATATATATATATCTCTCTGTCTCTCTTTCTCTCCTTCCCTCTATATGTACACGTCCCTCCGAATCGTGTAGAAAAATAGGCTTGCGTAGAAAAAGTAGGATCGAGCGAACATGTAAAAACGGACTCGCGCGTAAGTATCGAGGCAGTATGGATTCATTGGAGAAGCGCTACTTCTTTTGCCTCCCGTTTTTTGCGACGTATGTAAAATACACAATCGGAATGTAATATTGCATCTAACGTATTAATTCCACTTAGACGAAGGCACAATGTGTATGTGTAAGTATGTGTGTGAAGAGCGATACTTCACGTACACGCGCGGATTCGTCGTTATCTATCGCCTTGAGACGCCTCACCTAATCTCGATCCTCGATCCGCGATCGGTCAACAGATATACATAACGTAGATAGAAATGAACATTAAAATTCGAAAACTTCAACACTGTGTAAACACGCGATGGAGTAGACGGAGCTGATACACGAATAGGCGTGTATGAATGCGCTTACGCGACGGGGAACACTTGATTTATTCTTTTTTTTTCTTTATATCGTTTTCAAAAGACGCAACTGGAATGCGACGGAGATACATACCGCGGTAAGGCCACTTTCTTCGCTTTCGTGTCGTTGTATATGTATAAGATTGAATATTTGCATCGGGTATTATCTCTTTCACGAGGCTATCGGTCGTGATTTATTTTTACGTGTTCACCTCCTACAGGCCTCCTAACAATTTATGAAAACAAGTTGCCGTCAACTGCCGTTCTATCTCTTTCTTTCTCTCTTTCTCTCTTGCTATCTTTTTTTCTTTTTCGATACAACCAGTCGCAATGTCTCTCGTAATACTGTTCGGAAATTGTCTTCTCTTTTTCCTCCCGACGTATTATATTCCCCTCGTTTTTCCGCGCGTTATACCTCAATATTTCATAAGCAGACAACATCTATTGCCATTCTATGACTCGCAGGTACAAGAAATATCGTACATTCGCACGCAGAACATTCATCCGAATCGACGTCGAAGCCATAGAATAAC